GGGGGGTCGCCAGGAGGCCGAAAACCCCCCCCTGGGCCCCCCGGTGGTGGCAAAAAAATAGAACCCCGCGGACTGCCGGCATGCCACAGCGCAAGAGCGCAGCCCAGTGCACCAGAGCGTCATCGAGGAGAGCGTCGTCCCCGACGCCGCCGCCGCCCGCGCGAGAGCGACCGAAGTCTCGCGCCAGACGCACCGCGCCGCACTCGTCCGATGGCGGCGAAGCACGTCCTGTCCGTGCAGTCCCACGTGGTCCACGGCTACGTGGGCAACAAGAGCGCCGTGTTCCCGCTGCAGCTGCTGGGCTTCGAGGTCGACGCCGTGAACTCGGTGCAGTTCTGCTGCCACACGGGCTACCCGAAGTTCGGCGGCCAGGTCCTCGACGGCGACGCGCTCTGGTCCCTGGTCGAGGGCCTCGACGCGAACGGCCTCGCGGCCGGTTATAGTCATTTGCTCACGGGCTACATCGGCAGCGCGACGTTCCTGCGGAGCGTGATCCGGCTCCTGCGCCTGCTGCGGGAGCGCTGCGGGCCGGACCTCGTCTACGTCTGCGACCCCGTGCTCGGCGACCACGGGAAGTTGTACGTGCCCGAGGACCTCGTGGACATCTATCGCGCCGAGGTCGTGCCCCTGGCCACGGTGCTCACGCCGAACCAGTTCGAGTGCGAGCTCCTCACGGGCGTCGCGGTCAACTCGGAGGCCGACGCCGTGCGGGCCTGCGCCGCGCTCCACGCGCGCGGCGTGCCCCTCGTGTGCCTCACGAGTTTGGACTACGTCGGCGGCGACCGCATCGCCATGCTGCTGAGCGAGCGTTTGGACGACGCGCGCAGCGAGCAGTACGTGCTCGAGCTGCCGCGGCTGCGGGGACGCTACACGGGCACGGGCGACCTCACGGCCGCGCTGCTCCTCGCGTGGCTCAAAGCGCATCCCAGGGCCGGAAAAGAGAGCGAAATTCCCAACTTCAAAGGCTCCTCTCTCGGCCGTTTTCCACTCGTTTTGGCTAATTCTTGGACGAGCGATCATCTCTTGGAACGGTCTTGAAGCGTGGATGCTTTTTCCGGAGCGCGCGCGCGCGGAACACTCACGTTGAAGCGACGTTGAATCTCTCTCGTCCTGCCCAGGCTCACCCGCTCG